CCCTTCCTGCCAGGCCGATCGGAGCCGCGTTTGGAGCGGAGGGTCTGCTCTCCATCCCGCGTCGGGCGGTGCAAAGAAACTTTAATAGGCATGCAATACTAAATTCCCCATGGGATTTTGGCTGCTGAATCCGAACACGGATTTAGCTTTTAGTGTATTTTTCGAAGGAAATACACTATTGCGTTCTCCCGTGATGTCAGACCTGGACCAAAGATCATGTAATGAGCATCGATCATGGGTCGTAGATTACGAATATGCATGCCGTTTGAATTCATGTTTATATACACCTTTATTTCAGACCACCCGTACCAGGCCTTTTTCTCGGTTGTTTTAGGTCGTACGAAGTCGGAGACCGCGGGTTGAATAGGGAATTGACCCCAAGGAATCCGAATTTCGTGGTCCCGAAATTCCCTTACCCCCCCCCCCCCCCCCCCCCCTTGGGGAGTAAAGGGGGGGTCACGATGCTAAAAGTCGGGGTTCCCGACCGAATTGCGGATTAATCGCATCAGAATTGAAAAGCACGGACAATTTCACGTGAAATTGACCCCTAAAAATCCATAATCGGCCCATCCAAGGCCCAAAAATGATCCCCTAAAGAAGGGGACAGTACCCCCCTCCATAATTTCTCTTTGGTCTCAAAATTGACGTAGATTCTCCAGAAAAGGATGGTTTCCCAGGTAATCGACCCCGAGAAATCCAAATTTCATGGTCCTGAAGCTCCTCTAGCCCCCCTTGGAAGGTAAACGGGGGCCCCAATTTTAAAAATCGGGGCTCCTTTCCAAATCGCAAATTGATTGCATCCAAATTGAGGAGCAGAACACTTTTACATCTTAAGTGACCCCCAAGAGTTTTAATTGACCCCTCTGAACGGCAGAAGTAACCCATGAGGAGGGGGGCTCCGCTCCCGCCAAAAATTTTTCAAGATTCCTCTTTGGTCGCATAATTGACGTCGATTCTCCAAAAAAAGGCGGTTTCTGCCCAAAAGGGCGGGTAGCGGAGCTTAGGGACCATGAAATTTAGAGTCCTCAGGGTCGATTACCTGGAAAACCGTCTTTTTCTGGAGAATCGACGTCAATTCTGCGACCAAAGAGGAATCTTGAGAAATTTTTGGCAGGGGCGGAGCCCCCCTCCTCATGGGTTGCTTTCTGCCGTTCAGGGGGGTCAATTAAAACTCTTGGGGGTCACTTAAGATGTAAAAGTGTTCTGCTCCTCAATTTGGATGCAATCAATTTGCGATTCGGAAAGAAGCCCCGATTTTTAAAATTGGGCCCCCCGTTTACCCCCCAAGGGGGGCTAGAGGAGCTTCGGGACCATGAAATTTGGATTTCTCGGGGTCGATTACCTGGGAACCCATCTTTTTCTGGAGAATCTACTTCAATTTTGAGACCAAAGAGAAATTATGGAGGGGGGTACTGTCCCCCTCTTTAGGGGATCATTTGCGGGCCTTGGATGGGCCGATTATGGATTTTTAGGGGTCAATTTCACGTGAAATTGTCCGTGCTTTTCAATTCTGATGCGATTAATCCGCAATTCGGTCGGGAACCGTGACTTTTAGCATCGTGACCACCCTTTACTCCCCAAGGGGTGGTGGGGGGGGGGGTTCGGGACTACGAAATTCGGATTCCTTGGGGTCAATTCCCTATTCAACCCCGCGGTCCCCGACTTCGTGCGACCTAAAACAACCGAGAAAAAGGCCTGGTGCGGGTGGTCTGAAACACCCTGTATATATTTATTTATTTATATATCTGTTTGTTATGTATATATTTCCGACTCATCGTGGTTTTTCCGATTTTTGCTTGGTTATATTTCCCTCCTTTTAAAAAATTTCCGGGTGAAACTTTTTGCGATGTAAAGTAAAGGAACAGGACTACCATTCTGCGAAAAAAAAACGGAGATCGAAGTATTACATTTCGATTGGTGGGGGCGAGAAGTGGGAGGAGGTTCAATTTTGTGGGCGCGATAACTCGCGCAAGTTAAAAGCTTTCCCTCCGAAATTTTTACAGAGGGAAGATCTTACTTAGTTCTAGGCTGGTATTGAATTTGAGCGAAATCAGTCGAGCCGTTTAAAAATGGCGAGCTTTGAAAGTTTTAGGCGGGGGGTGCGCGGCTAAAGAGGAGGGAAGCCGCACAGTGGGTCATGATCTGAAAATTGGTGGACAAGACGGCAATTTTGTCGCACAGTGGGTCACGAACTGAAAGTTGGTGGACAAGACAGCAATGTTGTCGCACAGTGGGTCACGAACTGAAAATTGGTGGACAAGACGGCAATGTTGTCGCACAGTGGGTCACGAACTGAAAATTGGTGGATAAGACGGCAATGTTGTCGTACAATGGGTCACGAACTGATGAACTGATAATTGGTGGACACGATGGCTATATTGCCGCACAGTGGGTTACAGACTGATAATTGGTGGACAAGACGGCAATGTTGTCGCACAGTGGGTTATGGAGATTCATCCATCGTCATTCAAGCTTGCCACAGCGTTTGTTGACATTTTTTCATATCGGACATTACATGAGGATTGATGTTGCAATCTGGCGACATGAAGTCCTTATTCGAATAATCAATGCCTCCATAAGTGTAAACGTAAATCCAACCTCCAAACATTGATAACTCCCCGCCCCCGCCCCTCCCTTTGGAAAATACACTCTTCCCGCGGTGGACGCGCGGGTCACTTAAAAGACAGAACAACTGAGNCCCCCCCCCCCCTAAAAAAAAACCGGCGCTCTGCGCCTGTTTTTTTCATTATACACAGATTTTCCGGAACACTGATACTTCTCTGGAAAAGCTAGATTTGTAGGAAAAATTCCTATTTTCGCGGGGAACATATAGACCTAATAGTAGGTAAAAGACGTTAAGAGAGAAAAATAATTTGATTTTCATGTTTAATTTTTTTTATATTGAAGAAATATTATCCATACGGAGTGTACAAGAACCTCAAAATCATAACAAAAAAAAAAAATCAAATCATGAGTTGAAAAACGCTAATTCCGCGTGTTTAAATAATCGCGTCAAGCACAGCTCAGATACCGTAAAACGTATGTTAGCGCCTACATTACAGAGGGAATATTTCACGCATTGTGCGTTCACCAAGGGTGAGTGCTGGGGTTGAGAATTTGTAATTAGTCGTTGTAGGGCCTACCGCGAGCACACGGTGTCCTAGGCTTTTGCGCTCTTGGACTCAATAACACATTTCTTGTTTCAAGCCTCCATCAAACGGTCCATCGCAAATATTTCACTATCCCATTCCACTCCTCGATCCGAGAAATCTTTGTTTTGCAATGTTGTCTTTTCAGTTTGCTGATCAAAAGCATCAATCCCTGATAAAATGGGTAGCATACAAGAAAATTTCGCGGACGACAATTTATCTATTCCAAATATTCTTCAATGTACTTAGCACAAAAATAGCGCAAGTGATCGAGTTATTAACGAGATACCTACATACTTACTGGGAGCAATGGTCCACTTTTAATTTTTTAGATTTGTTTGAAATTGTTTAACCCACCTCGGATAGATTTATGAACGCTGATATCGAACATCACGTCCGTTTTTTGGGGTTAGGTATTACGTCAATGTTCTCCGCAAAAATAGGAATTTTCCCTACGAATCTAGCTTTTTTCCAGAGAAGTATCAGTGTTCCGGAAAATCTGTGCATGATGGGAAAAAGCTAAATCCGTGTTCGGATTCAGCAGCCAAAATCTCATAGGGAATTTAGTATTCCATGTCTATTAAAGTTTCTTTTCTAATCCTAATACCGAGGTTTTGGCGGGCCGGTAGTGCTCCCATTCGCCCATGTAACACCATGTATAACTCATCCGGTTATTGTGCGCCGGAAAGGAAGTAAAGAAAACAATTTTCTCAGATACTAGTGGCTGATTCTCATTCAATTTTTGCCTCTCAATCCGAAAATGATCTTATTTTTCATCTAAAATCTACCAAATTTTTAAAAAATAGATTTTTCAGCTCAAAAAAATCCCCTCTCTTTAGGATATTGATTTTTCCGAAGGTTTTGGAAGAGAACGAGGATCATTTTCGGCTGCAGCGTCAAGAATTGATGAGTGGGAATAACTCCACTTGTTGTGTGAGGATTAAAATTTCCCTCTCTTCTCCGACGTATAACAATCGGATGAGTTTTACATGGATATACAAAGGCGGAAAGGAGCACTTGTCCGAAAAAATATTGATGTCAGGAACAGATAGGAAACTTGAATAAGCATGCGATAAATGGCTCTTGTGTAATTTTGGCAGCTGAATCCGAAAATCACCGTATTTTTTCTCCTGTCATTCAGTCTGCATAAACTGCTACGTGCGAAGCACGTAAGGGTCGCTAGTATGAAATATATATAAAGAGTGTATTTATATAAAATATGTATAACTGAAGTATAACGGTTATATAAAACATTTTTACAAATAACTTTTATGTAAACTAATTATAAAGGTTATTCGCGCAATTTATAAAATTATTTGATTAATAACGGTTATATGACGGCGGTTTCCTTTGAACATCCCGTTACTTAACCGTTATATGAGTGGTATACTTTCGTTAAAATTTTTTTTCTATAAATCTGCTACTAGGGTGGTGGTATGACATACAGATATACTATTGTCTATGTTAGGTAGGTATCTATTATGTGGTTCTCTTCATCAGTATGCTTGTATAAATTTGAATTTTCTCTGGATAGATGTTCGTCAAATCTTGTTCTTACTGAACGTTCAGTTTCCCCTACATGAATAGCTGGGCTATACCTACAACTAATTTTGTATACACTGCTCGATCCATTCTATCCGGACCATGTCGTTTATTACTTTCGATTGCATAACCTTACAATTGGCACTTGTTCGGAATCCTGTGGTGCATAGCCGAATAATTTTTTAAAAATGTTCCCAATCTCATCATTACTATATATCCTCCCCCTTTCTCTTGTCCATTTTCGAACGGTAGGTACTGTTTAAATATACTAACCCATCATATTTTGATCTTTCATGCTCCTCTTTCTAGACTTTCGGTGTGAACTTATTTGTCAAGAACATTAACATGCCCGAGTCTTCAACTACATTCCTAATATACGACTCCACGGGTTTTGATTTGTACTCTAAGTACCTCAATAGTTATGTAAGTATCCTTTACTTATCACAATTATATCCCTATAGTTACCACGAAATGCATGTAAAAGTATCATCGGTGTTCCTTTCAAACATTAAGTATGTTGACGATGAAAATTCCTAGCCACGTCACGTAGGTATCATTGGGTTTGCGACGTTGCAGACTTCCAATCGTGTTTTATTTTTTGATGGAAAACAGCACAATGGCAAATCTTAAGAACTGTCGTAAATTGTCTTCCTTGATGCGGAGATAATTCTGTGGAAACTTTGAAAGGATGATGATGATTTTTTCTCTGTTAGGAAATAAAATAGGAGCGGAGACTTTAAAACACCGCAAACGAAATTCGAGGTTTGGGAGTCTTACCGTCGATACGAGAAATAATAAAGAAAAACATAATAATGACACTAGGGGGTAGGTACGCCCCCTGGCCGCTACGCGGCCCAATCCCCTGAAGGCGCTCCGCGCCATCAATGCCTCCTATCAATATTGGTTCTATTTTTCCCCTAAAAAATTACGATATGAGGTAGGTATACTTTACTTTCAGAATGAAATGATTTTTGTTATTGATGAATGAAGAAAAAACATTGTTTTTGAAGTCAAAAGGACGCGTTTTGCGATGACTGATTAATGAAACATTGCAGTAAAACAACGAATAATGAAAATCAGGTTATAACTAACAAGGGGAGGCTACCGATTGTCCACCTCAGATCGGGTTCAAATTTGGCAGAGAGGTAGAATAGGTTAATATAAGAACCCGTATTTTTTTTTAGGTGCCAATGCCCAGTCGTTTTTGAGTTATGAATTTTTGAAGTTGCCGTTTTTTCGTGTCAGCGACGCGCTCAATTTGAGCCTACTGTGCGCGCACCTTTTAATGCGATCCGAATGTCGCCTCGGTCATGAGAGACAATTGTCCAAGCGGTAGCGCGCTCGCCTGTGGTGCTGCAGGTTCGGAGTTCGATACTTGTTACGTACATTTAATTTTTAAAATTGATTATTTTGTTTTTTAATCGCTTCATCACAAGAAATTGTAAGTCACCTTGTAGACGTTGTGATGCTAATTATGTTTTTTTCCTTTATTGTCAAACACTCATTAAAAAAAAATAAAATATAAAATATACATAAAAAATAATTAGAATCATAACGTCTACAAGGTGACTTACAATTTCTTGTGATGAAGCGATTAAAAAACAAAATAATCAATTTTAAAAATTAAATGTACGTAACAAGTATCGAACTCCGAACTTGCAGCACCACAGGCGAGCGCGCTACCGCTTGGACAACTGACTCTCGTGACCATGGAGTCATTCGGATCGCATTAAAAGGTGCGCGCACAGTAGGCTCAAATTGAGCGCGTCGCTGACACGAAAAAACGGCAACTTCAAAAATTCATAACTCAAAAACGGCTGGGCATTGGCACCTAAAAAAAATACGGGTTCTTATATTAACCTATTCTACCTCTCTGCCAAATTTGAACCCGATCTGAGGTGGACAATCGGTAGCCTCCCCTTGTAAGTAGCTGAGGAGTCAGGAATCGAACCCACAACTTGAGACATGGGTGCGGGTACCTACTCTCGATGTCGTAGACGACTCGGCCACCGCTCATCTAGAAGCATATAGAGAAAAAAAGGAGGTGTTTGTATTTCGGGCATCTTGGATTTTTTTGATGATTTGATGACGTAGGTCGGTACAGCGACGTTTTTATCCTGTCGATTTTCTTGGAAATGGTGTAATTTAAGGAAAAAAGTCAATCTATAAAAAGTGCTTGAAATTATATAATGAGTTGATTTAAGTAAAAATATCGGACATTATGGTCCGTTTTTCATATTTCGAATTCCGGATTTCGCTGGCCAGGTTGTGACGACCTATACGTCACAGGGTAAACAAGCCTCAAGATACAAACGCCTCCTCTTTTTTCTCTATGATCTGGAAGTGATTAAGGCGAATCTTGTGTTGATAAGTAGAGCTGATGCGCAGGCAGAGACAATGCGCAGGCTACTCAGCCACTGCGCAGCCTCCTCGGCCACTCCGCAACCTTATTCTGCGCATAGCGGTAGCAGGCGCGGAGCATTCTGTAAAGTCACTCACTTTTATAACGTGATTTTAAAAAAACCAGGGTCCTATTTCCAAAATCTGATTAAAGTGGGCTCATCTAGAGCCAATCACCTGTCGATTTACGCAAAAATCATGGAAATCGGCCCGGTAGAACGCTCAAACGAACTATGACAAAAAATATAAATTTACATTGTTTACATGGGAAAATTCGCAACTTTACCACGTAAAATAAAAAAAACCTGGGTCATATTCTCAAAATCTTAATAGAGTTAGGCTTATTTAGAGACAATTCGACGGTGAAACTACCAAACCACGTATCTCGTTTGCGGTGTTTAAAAATTTACGATCACATTTTACTTTTTTTGAAGTAGACCAAATCAATATCATTCCTTGAAATTTTCACAGAATTTTCTCTGCACTAAGAGGAAAAATCACAGAAATTTTCAAAACTGGACGTTAAGTAGTTTTTCATTTAAAAAATAAAATATGGCAGGAAGTCTGCGACGTCGCAAACCGAGATACGTGGTTTGGAAGTTTCACCGTCGAATTGCCCGTCGATAGCCGCAGAAATCATGAAAATCGGCTCTTTAGAACGCTGGAACTAAGCGTTACCAGTTATGCAAAATTAGGAGGTCTCGGAGCTTATATAGTAAGTATAGATAGATATAGATAAAAACAATACAATACGACGCTAGACACGCTTATTTGAAGGTACTCATCTGTCATCACGTTGGCAATTGATGGATGCCAGAGGGAGCCGGGGAAACGCGTCCGCCGGTAAAAAAATTTCGCGTCAGTGAATTTTTAAATTTTTAAGTATTTTTTATTGATCATTTTCTGGTGCAGGTCTCAAAAATTTCATTGACTATGAGCATCTTGTATCTATAATTTGGATTACATCGTGTTTGTGCATGTAATATTGTGTGTACAAAAAATTGGAGAAGTATACACTCGTAATTGTTAGTGGAGTTGCAGATGTACAAAAAAGATTATTTGTCTGCAGTATTGTGAAAAAAGTGTGTTCTATACATCAATCTCTTCGTCTTGATACGTAGAATCGGATTTTTGATGGTGTCAAGTTCAAAAATTAATCCGGCGCCCCCAATTCAAGATGACGCCCCTAAAGGGCGCTAGAGGGTTGACAAATTATCAGTTTTCCTACCGAGTCGACTAAGGTGTCGATTACGTAATTTTGATCGTATAATCCAAATTTTACTATTAAAAAATCCTCCAACCTAAGGGGGGGGGGAATTCCCAGATAGCGGCCAAAATGGGTCCCTTGCCGGGATAATGGCCGTAGACGGCTTTATATACTGTATGACATATCCGCAAATAGGATTTCTGGGTCGGGCGAATTACGAAAATGAGATCGGACAGTGTTCTAGACCCGTTAGGGAGGCTAAGGGTGCCCTACAAAATGGCCGCCAGGGGGTCGAAAAATTTTGAATTTCCTTAATACCCCGAGTGGGATGTCTATTCGTAGGTAATTTTGGTCGTAGGGGTCAAATTTCACATCGAAACGGTCATCTAGCCGAAGGTTGGAGGGGGGTGGGGGCAAAATCCAATATGGCTACCGAAATGGTCTTTATAGTGGAACATTGACCTTAAGTGGCTTCATATGCCGTATGAAATAGACGCCAATAGGTTGCGTTTCAAATATGAGATTAAAAATTGTTCTTCGCTCATCGGGGAGATGAAGGTGGGGAGGAGGGAGCCCTGTGGCCTTCTCATCTCCCCCAAGAAACTTATAATTCTCCTTGAGAGGCTTCAAAATTCTGAATAAGTAATTAAAATAAATGGCAAAACAAACATGGGCAAGGAATGCTTCCCTGCTAAAAATGAGTGTAATGCTAGCATTACACTCGTGGGTGTATGGCTACCATAATGTGATTTTCACACAGAATTGCATTATGCTAGCATTACACTAGTTATACACTCTTGAGTGTATAGCTAGCATTATACTAGCTATACACTCACGAGTGTAATGCCAGCACTAGCTGCAAAAGGAGAAGGTTGTCGATGCCGCAAAATGCCACATCTGATCAATGAGGTTCCCAAAAGCGCACCTACTGTTGGATTACCTGGTGGATGGACGAGGCAAAATTATGGCCGGAACAAAATACTAAATGAATTAGAAGAAAACCCTTGGGGAAAAGGTTACAAAATCGTGAATAGCAAGATGGGACCAAGGAATCCAGCTGACGAATTAAGTACTGAAGAAAAACTTGAGGTAGTGAAAGAGCTCTTCCCGGAAAGACCATTGCCGTCCTTCGAAAAACCTGAAGTTGAGGATGAAATCCAACCTTTCACCAAAGGCGAGTTAGAAGAAGCACTGAGGACCACTAGAGATAAAAAAGCTCCAGGACCGGACGGACTCCCCCCGGAAGCGGTCAAAGCGTTTCTTGGTACTAACGTGGAAACGGGACTAGGAGTTTTCAACGAAGCCCTTACTTCGGGGTTTTTCCCGAAAATATGGAAGAAGGCTAACTTAATCCTACTACCAAAAGGAGTTAAAGGAAACAAAAAAACTTTCCGCCCAATCTGCTTAATAGATGTTATGGGAAAAATCCTGGAGAAACTAATTCTGCACAGACTCATAGCCGAGATTTTCATTTCAGAAAACCAGTTTGGTTTTGTGAAGGGGAAATCGACAGTAATGGCGATCAAATAAGTAGTGGATTTTGCAAACAGAGCATGGGAAAGGGGACGTCCATCTGGGATCGTGATGCTTGACGTGAAGAACGCATTTAACACCGCACCGTGGGAAGGAATAATTGAAGCACTTAGGAAAAAAGGCGTATCAACTTATTTGCTCAGAATCCTCCAAGATTATTTCACGGAGCGTAATATCATAGTAGACGGAGAAGAAATCCAAACCTCGTGTGGAGTGCCCCAGGGTAGCTGTTTGTCGCCGTTCTTGTGGTTGGTCTACTATGATTTTGTGGTGGGGGGTGCCC